AATTAACCATTATTAACAACGTCTGATTTCTGTAAGATCTGGCAGGCAGTTACCTAATGAGTTTGAGTGCAAGAGATTTCACTTGGCAAACTTTTTATGCCTCAGCCTCAGTTTGAGTCCTGTCCGTCGTCTTGTTGTTTGGGCCGATCGGAGAGGACGCACGCGTTTGCCGTTTGATTTGTGTCCAAAGTGTAGCCCCAAGTTACAGTTACAGTTACGGTTACAGTAGTTAATGAGGCACATTAATTAATTAGGCGCGTCTGGGGCAAAGCCTACGTGTCGAGCAGGTGAAACTTTTACGCTTGGACAGCTTACAGGCCAATTATGTCTGTTTTGTTAGACCAGCCCCCCGCCCTCCCATCGGCCCTTCGTATATTCGTCTCATTGTTGTTCAGGTTGTTTCTGTGGTCTCGAGCTGTGACGCGTCCCTTTGGTTTTAGATAAAGGGTTTCGCTTAGTGTAATTGTTTACAATTGCTTGTGAATGTCCCCCAAAAAACAACAAATTAAACAAGAGTGCTCGGTACGGGCGTGCCCGACTCGGAGATACCCTTAATCCATTCCCATCAAAATCCTTCTATATGCATATATGCACAATAGCACATTCACGCCTGTGCTTCTTCTTTATTTAGCCCCCAGCACTATGTATGGGAAATTCAAGCCTAATTAACTTCGGTATTTACAGTCCGATCGTAGTGAAATTTTCGGAACTTAAATATGACATGAAAAAGGGTGTGCGTTCCAAATCGCAAGACTCCATCTTTCAAATTGCGTTAGTTTAAAGTCTTTCTGCAAATTGACCTGCATGGAAAGGAGTATCCAAATAAAGTATATAATTTTAATCTTTATATACTATAGGAGGCCTACATACCAATTTTGGTATATCTAGTTGTTATAGTTTTCGAGTTTGGCTTAAGAAACTAAGCCTGATAATTAATATTTATTTTATTATGAAAATGGGAGGAGATAACGAGTAAATAAATGTTAGGCTCGTAATGCGTTTGGTATATGGAAATATATATTTTAATATAAATTTAATAAAAAAACAGAGCTAAATCGAGTCAGCTAGTCGTCACGACTTACCTTCTTCCGGTTATATAAATTTACACATAAACATTACACCCCTTTGATCCACTATCAATAGGTTCAGGGAATAACAATTACCAGCTGAACGAGCTTGAATAATGGAGCTGTGAGCTTGTGTGTGCACACACAACAATGTGTAGAATTATGATTATGAGTTGCATAAAATGTATGCAAATTTTTGTGTAATATTTAACAAAACAATTTTCGGCCTGCGGCATTTATTGAATTGTTTCACATGCGAGCGGATATTTTGTGGACCAAATGCGTTTGGCTTAGTTCATTATGGACATTTACGGCCATAAGAGGAAACTAATTTGTGCATGATAAAAGCCATTTGCCTGGCCATTAATTAGACCAGCTAACTAATGTCAGCTGCCGAAACAAATGCGACAATTGCGGAGACCATAATTAAATGCACATTAAGGCAATAAAATTGTGATTGTTTCGTGAAAATTATTTCAAGCTTTTCCAACTATTTGCTAGTTATGTTATAATTGGCTCATGCTTTACCATTTCTAAGCTGACATTGTTGTGCATAGTTTAACATTTTAAGCATTTTATGAATTTATCATTTTCGCCTCACTATTTTTCACACGGCATTTCAAAGCTTGCTGCGAGGCATCTGCATTTTTTCTTCTACCGCCTCCTCAACCCGCAACCCCTCCCCCTGTGAAAGTCGGCTCATAACTTTCTCAATTAGTTGACGCAAAGTTGGCAACAGCTCGGAAATTCTTTGTGTGAACTGCGGGAGAGAATGTTAATTTTCAGCAATTTCTGTGCAAATAAATTTACAAAGACGCCTTCGTCTCGCATTGTATAAATATGTTAAGAACATACAACAAAATTATTATGGGAACTAGGTGAATGCGTGAACAGTGAAATGTTCTTTAAATTGAGGATCAAAAAGGTTAAATGTATTTAAATTGATATGTTGACACGAGAGTTTGATAAATAAAGAAATATTTATATTTGAAAAGTTTTCTTTTCCACTTTAACTCAGGAAATGTTTCTAACTCTAAAAGAAAACCTTTCAATTTTTTTTATATATGTAAGTTAAAATAAATAAAAATGAATTGTGCAACATCATGTTATATTGAACTGTTTTTAAAGTGTATCTAAAAAAAGGATTCATTTTACAATTAAGCTTTTGACTTATTGTAATATTTTTGAGTTTTTGTATTATTTTAGGGTTATTTGCGCTATAATAACAACACAATGTGCCTCCATTTATTCATTTAAAAATAAATAGCAATAAAATGCAGCCATTTTGTGTTACTGTTTGCTTAATAAAAGACATTGAAAGCCAATTTCTTTCAATACTGTTTCAAACTTTTCCAATTTTATTTGTCAAATTTAACCTTGGATTAGTCTTTGCTTTTGTGAAAGCCCGCCGGGCACTTGCTTGTCATGCAAAAAGCAATAACCAGCTGCCAAGCGATGGTAACTGCGAAATAGGCTCATAAATTATCAGCAAATTTATAATTTCACACCTACATCCATAACGAGCTAAGGAAAAAAAAAGTTGGAAAAATGAGCAGAAAAAAATAGGCAAACTATTTGCCAATGTGCATGGCTCGGCTTGTCAGTGGCAGAAATGACAAATGTTCGCCAGACAGGCAGCCGGAAAATTGTGTGGAAAGCCCTAAACCAGCCCCCCGCCCCCCATCTAGAAGCAGACAGGGTAGCAGCCCTAATGACAGCGAGCATTGCATGTTTGCCCAGTGTTAATCATAAATGGTCTTCAAGCCGGTTGCATAGCACAGAAAACCCGAGTCCCGAGTTCCGAGCTGAATACCAACCGAATTCCTAGGCCAAATTTATGCGACCATCTCATATTGGTCTAATTAAAAAGATGCCAATGTCGACACCGATGGCAAGTGCAGCTACAAGAATTTTGGCCTGAATCTAAAAAGGAAGGCGCGAAAAATGGCAATTACCGCGTCCACAAAATGTCGCGAGCTTTTTAAATAAAATGTGACAGCCATTTGTGGGCTCAAGCGGCGGCTTGGCTAATGGAAAGATTGTAAGTGCTTGATTTATGGCCAGCTATTATGACACAGAGGCATGCAATGCGTAACCAGGCAGTGCAAGAAGTCTGCATAGAGTGCTTGCCGGACAACGTTTATGTTCAGAAATCTAAGCTTGAGAAAATTGGAGTACAAAGTCCACAACTATTGAACATAATTCTATTTAATTGAATAAGAGGTATCGGTCAAGTATATTAAACGATCATTAGATGTTGAAATAACACTGTGTATTGAAATAATGAGGTAAATTGATTTAACAACACTGCGAACACATATACTCATACAAATAAAAGCTATAGTGACCATAAAGCAAAGAGAAAGAACAAGTTCAAAAAGTATTTTTTTTTTCCTGGCATGCTTCTGTTGCTCTTTCTCAGTCCTTGTGTATCATTAGAACAATAGAATAAACAATAGAGTAAATATCAAACAAATTTAATAGTGTAATTAAGCATAGGGACTTATTATTTAATGACGGGCTATCTAGGGCAATATTCCGATATTTGAGAAGCTAAACAGTAGCTCACTTCAGCTAGAAAACTGAAAGATAGACATTTTCTGATTTGCCACGCCCTTATAAATTCCATATAAGTTAAACACTTTATATGTTTTGCAAGAGTATAGAATATTCAAAGTCTCAAACTTGGAACCTTAACCGCTATTAAATGGATACCTGGATAAAATTTGAACCTTTTCTTTATATTAAAAAATATATTTTTAAACATGTTTAGATAATAAACTATAATTACTATTTTAAAAATAATATTTTGCATCAACAGATTGCTAAGATTTCACTCTACAAAGCATTGCGCAGCTATTTGCATTGAATAATTGAAACAACAAAAAATGTTATCAAGGAAAGGAACTTTTTCACTCTTATAAGGAAGATATACAAAAAGTAAAATTGAAATTGAACCATCGAGCTTCCATTTAAAGCTAATATGTGTTGACGAGCAAAAACAGATAAAAAGATAGCTCACCCATTCAGCTCTCAAATACACGCGCTCTTCATATTGTCTCTCACTGTCTCTCATTCTTAGAAGGCAATCAGGTACGCCATTGTACGCCATTTTTTTTTCATCAAACACGCATTTTTTAACAACATGTTCACATGTTCTTGCATGATCAAGAATAGAGGAATAGCTTACATAGATATTTAGCTAGTACACGCGACATATTTTTATCACATTTAACACCGGGTAATTAAATATAACTTACAAGCAAACGCGTTAACATAGCCACACGCAAACAAAAAACGATCGATCAACACGGCAGACGCGCACAGACTAAATCGCGCGCCTAGGCTAAGCCGGCACTTGCACCAATACAACAACAACAACTGAGAGCACACAACCAGTGCAGCAGCCGCGCTCACAGTATGCACAGTGCTCGCTCTCTGTATTCAGCTGCAGCCCTCAGTCTATATACACATATGCATATATGTACATAAATATAACAGGATCAAAAGCGCCAGCTCCAGCGGCGTGCATTGAGTCATAAGAATACCGTTACAAATGTATGAATGTATTTTTAAGCGTGTGCGTTGCGAAGTGTGTGAAAATAAGAAGATTGCAATTTCGTGAGCGGCGCATGACGTCACAATTAAATCCTGTTAGTGTATGAGTGTACATGGCAAAAAGTATATATATATATATATTTATTCTTCAGCAGGAAGATGTGCTGAGCAGATGAAATTAAGATTTGAAAATAAGAATATGAATTTTATAACTAAAATACACGAAACAAGTTGAACATCTTTTCCAATATCTACTGCCATATCGATAATATCAATAAGTATCGATTTTGAAATTAAAGTAATCTAAAAAACATAATCAATGAAGACAACTTTAAGCTTTGCTTTGGAAATTATTGACAGAAATTTCGAAAATCCCAGCAATTGTTTACAAATCGAAACTGTAACGGAAAATCCCAAAAAATAAGTATATAAAAATAATATGCTTCCTGCTACACGGCGTCGGATATTTACGCAGAAGATTCTGTTCATGACTCTGCTGCTGCTGCTGCTGGGGTGTTGCTACCTTATATACTTGCAGCTTGGAAAATTTCAGCGAACCAGCGAAAACGTTCAAAGCAGTTATTACAGGCTGCCTCGCATGCAGCTCGAGCAGAATGGCGATTATTGGATCTGTAATAATTTCATGCGCTCCTCGAGTACCCGACTCCGCGGCAATGCGAGCATCACACTGACCACACATGGCACCTACCGGGACTTCGGGCACATGGACTGGCTGCTGGTGCGCTGGAATGGTCCGATTAGCATGGCCGTCTATGTGCATCCGGGTGATTCGCTGGAGACGCTGCGCAAGCTGTATTATATTAAATACTGCACCTCGGGCAGCCACAGCTGGTCGCATTATGTGTCCCTGCAGCTGGTCTTCTCGGATAACCAAATGCCACGCCTCTTTCAACAAATGGTCTGGAAACGTATTGCGATGATGCCTTGCACGCGGCTGGTCCAAAAAAATCCCAGCTCCCGTGGGCTTAAAAATCCGTATAACTCCAGCTACCCGCTGCATTTGCTGAGAAATGTGGCCCGCCTGAATGCGGAGACTTTGTATGTGTTCCCACTGGAACCGGGCATGTTGCCCACACAGCATTTCATCAGGAATTTCTTTGGGTTTCTTCACCGATATCATCCGCGAAAGCGGCTTAAAAGGTGACTCTCTCTTAATATTTTCCGATAAAGTCTGATAGATCTGGACTCCATATCCAGCGTTTACTGTATACCCATATTCCCACAAGTCGGCGAAGATCTGCAGCTGCCCAAATACAAATCTCAGCTCTTGGAACAATGGAAGCCCCATCTCCATGAGAACCGCACGCTGTCTGCCTTTGAGCTCCGAAAATTGGACAAATGGCGCTCTTGGCTGGCAAATCCGATACGAGATGGCGACATCCGCGTTTATCTGGTGACCAAATCACCCCACAGTTGTGCCGCCTACGTCAGCAGCAATGCAGACGAGCCCTTCTACGATCAGCGCTATGCAGAGTCCATTTATGACACGAATTCCAGCAAGGTAGGTCAGGCAGAGATGGGCGTGGCATTGGTTGGGATCGGATTTGTGAGGCACACGAGAATACATTATAAAACCACGCCCAGGCAAACACGGTTGAGATTAGGGAAGCAATATATACAACCGATTGTTCCTATAGAAGCTATATGATAAGCTAGTACGATTTGTTAGAGATATGTGCGAAGAATCTAGAAACTCTTCCCAGATATTTCCAATTCTGATATAATTTTATTTTTGAATACTTAATTTGTTTAAAGTGATATTCTTTTAAATGTCTAGTACATAAGCTTATTTCTCTTCTATTATTCAGCATTTCAGAATGTATTAGAAAAGTTTTCCTTTGAGAGATAATTCCGCCAAGGAACTACTAAAACCTTATCAGGCTGAAGCAATATTTCAATTATTGCAAAAAAAAATATATATATTCTTTTCGAAGATGGGAGAAGTCCTGCGATTAAAATAATAAGTGTTGCATAACTTGCAGCATTTGAGTTTCTGTGCAACACTGATAGAGCGATAGCAGAGGTTGTCATCGATTGCGACTCTCTTGTGACTGAATTTATTTGACAGAAGTTTATTTGAAAAGCAAAGTCAATTACATATAGGAAAGCAAACATTCAACCCCGATATACATATATATATATACCTTTTTTACATTTTTATTATGATGCTATAGCATTTCAAAATCTTTTCTAATTGCAGCTACAAGTTCTGGTTGGTCTTGGTTTTGACTTTGTCGTCTTGGATGGCACCTTTCTAATACACCGAAACTCCAGCTCGCAGTTGGAGTATTCCAGAGAGGCACTGCACCAGGCGAACTCCCGCCAAAAACTGAAACACATACGCGACCTAATCAAATTGAATACTTTTGCGCAGGACAACAGGAGCGACTAAAGCATGAGACTTGGCATTCCATCTACGCCGACCTCGGACTGCGACTCCGACTCCAGCTCGGACGCTGACTTGGACTCGGACGCGTGCTTGGAGCCTGTGGCAGGGCACTTAATCAAATTGTCTGGCTGCTTCTTGACGCCTCTCGTTTTTGGCATTGCATTTTATATACTACTCTTTGCCCTATTTTATTTTTCTTGCTGCTTTTTAATGCCATTAGTGGCGTGGAATTTTATTTCTCATTTGGCGTCATTTTTCATTTTCCTTGGCAGCGCATTGCACGCAGATAAGCGGCCAGAGCTTACTTATAAATAGGGTTCGAAGTGACACGTCCTTTTCGGGATTCAAAAGAGTATCGCATGCTATTCGTTCATTCACAACATTAAACAATTTGTTAGTAGGGTAATCAACTAGCGATGGGACTTATACATTTTAGTTAAGAGGAACAAAATGTAAAACAGGTTTAAAATAAATATTTGGATTATCTTATATTTCCTAATTTCACATGGAACAGTGAAAAATTAGCGGAAAATAAATACAAGTCAATACAAAAATGTATATATATAAGCAGTTCACCTTTAATTAAATTGTTCTGGTGTAATTAATTTCCATTGCTTTTTTTTTCCGAAAGAAAACAAGCCAGAAAATCGCTTTCGTTTAAACTGAGATCTTTAATTATTTTTGTTGCTATTTATATTATATATTATATTATATTATATTATATTGCTATAATGATTAAAATAAGCAAATATTTACAATTCGCTTTCATTTAAATTGTTTTCAATTTATTTAATATTCACTCAAATCATTTCCCCCAAAAATTGCCGATCCAAATTTCCGAATAAACCAATATGTGCCGTTTGCTTCAGTTAAATTTCATTGTTTTTTTTAATTTTCAGAATTCTCCCAAATCTGTGAAAATAAACAAATACTTGCAATTCGCTTTTAATTTAATTTATAATATTTGTTTAAATTATTTTCGTTGTCTTTATTCATGTTCTATTTTAAGTTAGAAGCTATTGACAAAAATAAACAAATAATTACCGTTCGGTTTAAATGAACGCGTTCTAATTGAATTATTTTCAGTGTTATACCCTTTCAGTGTTATACCCTTATAATTTTGTCGTGAAATGGGCAACGCATAGAAGGAGACATCTTCGAGCCCATAAAGTATATATATTCTTGATCAGTATCAACAGCCGAGTTGATATAGCCATGTCCGTATGTCTGTTTCTATGCGAATTAGTCTCTCAGTCTTAAAGCTATCTTTATGATACTTTGCAAAAGTCCCTCCACTATATCATACAGCTGCCATAGGAACAATTGGTCGACAATTAAGTTGTTGTATGGAAAACTTTTTTATTGTTCAAGATATCTTAACCATACTTACTTACTTACCATACGGCATTAACTTTTTTCCCAGCATTATGAAAAGGTTGGGTCTGCAAGGGTATTAAATCTTCGGCGTGCCGAAGATAGCCCTTCCTTCTCGTTATTATTTAACTTCGAAATCCACCCAAATAGTGGAAAATTTGAGGAAAATAAATTTAAATAATTACAACGATGTATTGTGGTTGCTATTTAATGCAATTTCTTGTATTTATTTAATTTCCTGATTTCACCCACAACCGAAAATTAACACAACACAACGCTTCCCTCTAATTTGATTAATCCTGATTGTTTTAATGTAATTTCCAAAATAAGCCCGCAGCTGTAAAATTGTTGGAACATAAATGAGCAAAAATAAACAAACATTTCTCCACCACAGTAAAAAATTGGCGGAAAATAAATAGAAGTAATATCAAGATATTTGCAATTAAATAGTTCCCTTTTAGTTAATTATAATTGTTTTTTATTTCAATTTCAAATTTCACCCGAAACTGTGGAAAATTGACGATTGGTTGAAAGCAATTTTCTTTGGTAAATTTCATCCAAGACGTGTTTCACACTTTTCTGGAAATCCACCTCTGCTGAGTGGAAAATTGGTTATAAAGGTAAAATTAAATTTTCGTATTCAAGTCCATTTTCTCTTCTCTTCTTGACTTCTTTGACTGAGTGAGGCGTAAAACTTTGACCTCAACTGTTGACTTATCAACGTAGCACAGGCGGATTTAAATAACCGACGAGCGGAAAATGCGTGGAAAAGTGATATGAAGCAATATATTTGGCTCGGCCAAGGCCGGTTAATGCCAGCTAGTTATAAAATGTCTGCCTTAAGAAAAGTAATTTGTATGACGGAATTAATTTATATGCGCGTTTCCGGCAATTGTTACTGCGTCTTCCCTTAGATTAAGTCGTAACGTTTATCTTTGTAATGCAGTTAATCCCTGCAATTAACTAGCTGTTGAGTAAATAATGCGTTTCTTAATCAACCAACAAAAAGGTGGACGTAAGCAGCTTTAATTATTTTCCACTTTGTTGTTTCATATTATTATTATTATTATTATTATTATTGGCAAAAGCTTTTGTGCCTCTTTATGAAAATACCACAAAATTCCATTAATTTATTTGCGGTTGCAAAAAGAAAAAGAAGAAGAGAAAAACGCGACTGTGGCACGGCAACAAAATGAGCTGTGTGTGTGCGTGTGTGTGTGTGTGTGAAAATGGGGTCCGGGGCACTTTGCAACTAATAATTTAATATTTTATGCATGACCTGCAAAATAAACAGCAACAGGAAAATTGGTAACAGCACAAAAAGGAAAACATTTGCCCATTTATAAGCGCATTGTCTCTTCACACATTTCTTATTTTTTCCCCATATTTTTTAAGGGGTGAGGGGGGGCATGCAAAGCATAAAAAATGGGCGGCGCGTAACTTTTGGCGAAAGTTTTCAGCAAAAGGAAACTGAGCAGAAAAGTTAATATTAACGCCGAGCGACGCATTTTGCCTTAATTTTTCGACTCGCCCCCATACAAGGCTCTACTGCTTTTCCTCCCCCCCCCTCCCCCCTCCCCCACCACGCCTAGTTGTTTTTCGGCCATTTTGACGCCAAACACGTAGCCTTCGCGTTCTTGGTTTGCCCTTTTGCTTTGTTGGACGGCAAAATCTTGTTAGGGTTCGTTTTTCTCACAGCGCTTTATTTGCACGAAGCTCTTCAAAATCGTTTATTTTCCATTTTTTTTGTTGCTGCGAGCGCGCTTTTCGTTTTTTTTTTATGGAAATTTTGTTGTGCAAATTTGCAATGCTGCGCTGCGCATACAAAAGCAATCGGCACACGTTAAACAACAAAAGGATTCGAAATTCGCGCAAAATTCATGCAAACAATTAGATGAGTTCGCCAAAGCTGAGCAGCGCAATGCAAATGCCATTCTTTTACCTTTTCACTATACTTTTAATATTATTATTCTTTATATTATATATATATATTGTGTTATAGAATACCTTGTGGCTCTCTTTGTGCGCACCTATTCCATAAATGTAAAGGTCAATGTTTTTTTTTTTTCAAATTTTTTGGGCATGAAATTTGACTGCGCTTTAAACATTTATGGTGTTATACGCTATTATTATAATTTATTCATCAAATGTGCATGTATAAAGTATCTTTATTCTGGATCTACATCAACAGTCGAGTTGATATGCAAATTAGTCTCTCAGTTTCGAAGATATTCTCTTGCAACTATCCATAGTTCTGTCTTTCTGTAACAGGCAGTACATATGTCGGAACAGGCTGGATCGGATTACTATTTCATATAGCTTCCATAGGAAAGCTTGGTCGAAAAGTTGGTTCTTGTATGGAAATCTTCTTTGTTTACCAAGATATCTTAACCAAACTCTGCATTACTAAGTCTTACCATGCTCCTCGTATATATGCAAAATCATATCAACATCAAACGACTATATCATATAGCTGCCATTGGAACGATCGGTAAAACCCAAAGTACTTGTTTGAGCAACTTTTTTTGTTTTTCAAGATAACTTGATCAAATTCGGGATTTATTAGTTCCACTATGCTCCTCATAAAGATACCAAATCTTATTAACATTTGAGTATCATATCATATGACTGCCATTGGAACGATCCGTCGAAAAGTAAGTAAGTTTTCACATATATCTGCAAAAGGAACAGTCTGGGAGTTTATTAAATCCCGTTAAAATTGAAACCAAGGTTCATTTTTTCACTTCGATCAGTCCGAGCACAGGCCAAGACGCCCCATTGGGACCCAATTCTGATTGCTAAAAAACTCATTAATACTCTTATTAATTGTAAATATTAATTTTAATTGATACAAAATATGCACATATATAATAATTAAATTTAAACAACTTTGTTCGGTTGCTTAACCAATTGTGCTACAAAAATCACACGCATTTATTGTAACTCAAACTTTGTACTCAATCCAAATATGTTAAAGCTCTGATAGACAAAATTTTCATAAAAAAGATGCGCTAATAAAGTTTGTCAAGCTGCCAAAAAAAAAAAAAAATTATGCGGCGCTAATTGGATGCGGCTGGCAAAATAAGGCAAACAATTAGAAAAATATTTGTCAGCATCAATAGGGTTTTTTTTTTATTGTGGCTTAAAGTATTAACGGAAACCTGAACAGGTTGCTGGCACAGGGCTCAATAAGAGAGAGAATAAAATAATACGAGGCCGCAGTCATTAAATATATGTTGAAATTACCAAAAGGCTGCATCCTTTTGTGCGGAAGGAGCGAAGCGGCAGCGGCAAATGAGAAATGCAAATGATGAAATAATGAAAAAGCCTCTCACCAAAAACCAAACAAAGCCCGCAGGCGGAAAGGCATTAAAACAAAAAGTAGTTGAGCATAAAAACAAAGTGCTCGTCCAGAGTCTCAGTGTGCGTGAGCGTGTGTGTATGTGTGGGGTGTGTGTGGGGGAGGGGGTGTGCATATGAGAGCGCATATTTAATTATTCATACGCCCTGTCTGCCCGCAAAGTGCAAAAATGCATGCAGGCGCAGAAGTGAGCGAAGACAACGAACGCAACAACCAACGCGACGGCTGGCAAAAGTTTTCTCCAGCCCGACTTCAATTTGTTGTAAACAAGACGTTGCCGACTTTTTGTGGGGCAGTGGAAATTGTAGCCTGGGCAAAATGGGGAAAAGTGCATGGATAATAAAATTAACTTTTGTTTTGCCATTTGCTATGTGCCAAAGTGTCAGGCCAATAATTGAAAATCAAATTGCTTAAATATTCTGATTGCGGCTTAAATTGTCTTGATCAGCAATGCAAGAACAAAATATATATTTCGATTTAATACTTGAGTGCTGCAAATATATTTTCTAGCACATTCTTGCTTTTGTGTTTTAATAAAATCAATTTAATGCCCATTGATAAAGTTTATTAAATAAATATTCTCGTTTGCCGGCAACTCAAAGTGTCAAACTAAGCTCTGGAAAAATCTAAAATAAAAATAATACAAGATTTCCTCTTCCCACACAAGGGAAATGAATTCTTTTAAATATATGGATATAAGGCTGTGCCTCTAAAAATATGCGAGCTTTTATCCGAAAATTTAAATATTCTGTGGCTTTGTCTACAATACGAGAGTCTACATAGCATGTCTGTTTGTGTCTAGCTCTGATAAGCTTCTAGATAG